AAACAGTAACAGAGCCCTATATCCTCATCCTCCCCACCACCTTCATCATCCTCTGGGGAAATTTGGCCAGGAAAGCATCAAAGATTCCATCTCCATCTCCCTCTCTCCCTCTCTCCCTCTCTCTCTCAAACAGGTCCTCATCGTGCGTCCCCATTCTTGTTGCGGCAGCACCCCAAAGAAAGAAGAGGAAGACAAGAAAATATTTGCAGGTGGACCTCTTTGCCGGTGAAATTGTTGTTGCCACGGCAATTATGCTGCAGATGTAGGGGTAATCATCTCCGCACCGAGGAAATTGCGGGTATTTTGATGGAGGGGATTAAGGCTGTCGGAAACATGAGAGGACCGGTGGGCAGACGAGGGGAACAAGCAAAATATTGGGTGTGCGGAGCGTCAACTATTGGTGCTATAGGACCGGTGCTTTTCACCTGGGTAATGGTGTGAGAGGGGATGGGTCTCGACTCATTGAACAGGGTCCAATCCCTCTCTCCGACTCCCAGCTATGATCTTCTCTGCAGATGGCCAGTACTGGATGTTCTAGTCTGCATCTTCAGACTGTGTTTAAAAGACTGAAGTCCACATGATTGCAATGACTTTCAAGAGATTTACTCAATAGTCAAGAGATTAACCCTATTGTACATTCATATCCCTTAGACATCATGTTAAGACTAAGTTATACGTCGCTGTAATGTTCACACATATTTTAATAGGTGAATAGGTAATGAACAAGACTGTTGTAATTGTTGATGTTGATTTTCAAAAGTCTTTGTGATCATAGTGGTTAGTGCAGTGGTCTGGAAAAAAGAGGTCTGGGGTTCAATACCATGTCAATAGACTGGCGTCCTTTTCTATCAAATAATTCTCAATGACCAAGTCCATATGATATGACTCATGGTCGAGGCAGTAGATCCTCAGGTTATCTAATGGAAAGCTTGTAGTTGGTTTCTAAGCAGTCAATTAAATAAATATAAATAAACTGCTAAAGCTTGAATGGATGATTTCATGACATCACCACCCTATCTATCGCATAGCTGTAAAACTCCATGAATAGCAGAGCCTTCTACTTTTGACATTGTCATCAAAATGACACCTCATATCAAACTGAAGAGTGAAAGCCTGGTTTTTGTAATTAAATGTTAAGCCCTACTACACATGAATATCATAAGGTCTCTATTTTATGAGCGACTTCTTTGTGACCCCGCAAAACTACCTGTACCTCTTCTTTCAATACAGAAAACAGCATGACCGTGTCTGGAATCCTCAGACTACCAGTCCAGAAAAAGGGATTGAAGATATCAATAACGCCCAAGTGATGTGTTGGTAATCACAACAAAAATTTAGACAGCCCCCTCACTTGATCCCTTTGTTTTCAAAACGAAGCCTTGCCGAACTTTAAGACCGACCCGTTCCTGTCGCTCACTCCCATCTCCTTGCGTTCTCCATTTCTCCAGTATCCCCCATCCTGAAAAAAGAAATGCAAGAAATATCTGGCCCCTCCCACGTTGACTCAACTTAAGAGATAACCAACTGATTTTCATCAATTCACTCAAAAATTTGTATAGTGATTATAGTGATATTAATAAATGGATGAGCATAATAAAAATGAACGATAGTTGGGTAGCATGTTCGTCAGCTTATAACATATGATAGCATTAAACTGTGTACGTTGGATTTTTGTTTTCATCATCAAGCAGGTCTATAAAGAAAACATAATTATTCCTTCCTATGCTCGATTCAGCCAATCCCTATCACCCTTGCTCCCTTCCTCCTCCCCTTCCCCCTCCCCTTCCTCCCCCCTTCCTCCCCCACCCCACCCTGCTGTCCCCCAGTGACGATTGAGGCATCATTAGCTACGAGTATTGTAACATCTGTTACAAATGGCCAGGGCTTGTTTGAGTAACCTCCCGCTTTCTCCCTGCCCCGCTTTCAACACCTGAGCACGGCCCGTCCCGGGATTTCACGGTGTGCGGTCCCACTATGCCGCAGTAGATCCTGCCCCTGCATTTCAAATGATGTCCCCCCCCCCCCCCTTCCCACCCCCTTCTTGCTCCTGCTAATTACTCAATTAATCTAAACTTATCTGCAGTCCCTACTCTATTCTATTCTCCTCTTAATCTATTGAAGGGGCATTCCAAGACAACAAACACATACCCATACAAAACATTAATGCCATTCAATCATTAATTTGTGTATCGTATCAACTTACGATATAAAAAGTAATTTTATATTAATCACAACATTATTCAAACCCAGGACTTTTTTTTGATGTTTATAAATAGCTTATATACTTTTTTGTTTAAAGCCACACAACTAACTGCCCCAATTTTAATTCCATTTTAATTGTAAAGTATACTGCATTTCAGACTCCTTTGTAATTGTAACAATTTTTTTCTTCAAAATATATCAATAAAGCACAATGTTCTATGATACATATAAAGTATTGTTCATGTTCTGCATCAAAAATGTGACCAAGAATGGCTCTGAAGAATTATGTGTGTGTGTGAGATAACTTTTTTTATGTAAATATATATATGGCTTAAATGTACATCTTGAATATTCAGGATTAATTTTTATCATAAGGCACTCATCTTTTTATTTTCCCATCAGGTTGTGTAATTTGTATAATCCCAATTTGACTTTATTAATCGATCTGTTAGGATGTTGGTTGTCAAAGTACATCAACTTACAGTAGATTATCCGTTATTGCTGATTTCAATGTAGAAGCTACAAAGCTCAGACAATTATAAATTGTCAAGACAATTTGATGTATCCCCATCTTGGGACTGAAGAAGCACTGAAAACATAAAAAAAATTCTTCACGATAAGCTCCTTTTCCTAAAATTAAATGCTGGAGGAATAGGAGAAGCCCTACATTATGTAAGAGCTTGTAATCTTCCATAGAATAATAATAATAATAAGTAAACGATTTTGCAAAGCGCATAAAACATAGGCATGAATTGTATGTCTCTATGCCTTTTACAGAACAGAATACAGGAGTGGAAATGGTGCACTGGGTTCATAATTGTGATATTTTATAAAGTGTGAGAACAAGATACATTACCATAGTTGAATTAAAATTGCTTTACAAGGCAATGACAAGCGGCTAAACATGTGCCAATTTGTCACTTAGTTTGGCCCTAGACGTGCAAGGGGTAAACTACCAAAACTGCTCAAGGCAAGCTCAAACAGACAGCAATACCCATACGGGACACGTATTCTCGGTGGGACTGCATTACCTCCCACGCCTCTATCCACCAATCACTGGAATGCGGCTAACAATGACCGAGCCTGCTGATTGGTTGAAAACCATTTTGGCAAAACAATGATTAGTACATTCCTACCAGGTGAGCCAGGCTTCGGTCGGCCGATGGTTAGGACCCGTTTGATTCGCTCGGATAAAGAGGTCACCTCATCAAACTCGGTAATATTTATTTATCTATCTGGCGAATAAGAATAATGTCTTTTTGGCCCTGTCAAAATTCGGCTCAATGCACTATTGCTATTTGTCTGTGCTGGTGGAAAAATATTGAAGTTTTCTTACCGAGGGCTTTGTTGTAAGAGTAGGAAAATCGGTTGTTTATTTTGAAAAGGTAGTCCCATCATTTAATGAATGTGGCATTGGGGCAATGTCTTATCCGAGGCAAGGAGACTGTTGTACAGCAATTACTGCTTATGTTATGGATGGCTGCCAAATGCAAATAAATGAAATGCCAAATATTCATCAAAGAATCTTAAGTGAACCAAGAACTGAATTTTGATTACATGATTATAAATGAAATTATTTGATAGATGAAAACAATTAGTAAACAGTTCAATGTTATCAAGTTCTAATACTTGACGAGGCGCGATAGCTCAGTCGGTAGAGCAGTGGTCTCGTAATCCGGTGACCCGGGTTTGAAACCAAGGCGATGCGCTAGTGCCCTTTGGTAAGGCATTAATCCTCATTACCAGGTCCCTCGGAGAGGACCTAAAGGCGTCGGCCGTCTGGTTGCTTACTTACAAGCATTTATGCTTTCTCAGCAGTCAGGTAAAATAACCACCACCATTCCATACAATAAAAGCAAACACAATAAAGGTTGAGAAATAAATAGAGCATCAGGTTCTGAATCCTCAGCCTAACTTGCAACGCAAACTTCACCTGTAACTAACATGGTAAACACACATACAAATAATTCCTCACAGAACTTGCTTAGGAAATTCAAAGACAACAATGCTGACAAGTCTCTAAGCTGTTTGTAAAGGTTCTTTCCTCCTTAAAGGCTCATTCACATTTATACTGCAGGAAACATTTTTCTTTTTTACCCCAAGATTCAACAAATGTCAAGTGAGCATTATAAAAGTAGCTGCAAGCAAAAAACGCCCTCTAGAGGCACACTCACTTATGTGTGCTGTGTAGAATACAGAAATTAAAAGCACACTACATTTACTTTGCCCCAGCAAAAACAAGGCCTTTGTGGATGATTTTTTTTTTTTTAAACTAAGAGGTGAATTATGATTCACATCTTGGACAGGGTGTTATTTCCCCTTCGCAACAATTTCTTGTACTCGCAATCCGGTATTCATTACCAGAATTGAAGATGAGCTCTAAACATATCTGGGCCCTGTTTCATAAAAATGAAATCGTGGCATTTGATTGGCTGAGAGCAAATTTGTCATAGATATTTTATTTGCATTTCTTACTTATAGTGTTTTATATAAAACGGGGCCCAGATACCTGAACTGAACTTTCTCAGAGGGTTTGCAACAACGTTCCTATTAATCACTTTACGTGCAGGTTGGTTTTGGTGAAGGCGAAATTCCCCTCACCATTGATATGGATCAATACAGTCTGAAAAATCTGGGTCCTGTTTAATAAAACTCCTTATCAATAATAAGTGCTTAATTTTCATGACAAATTTGCTCCCAGCCAATCAGATGCAATGATTTCAGTAGCTTATAACACTTATTCTATCTCGTTATTGATAACAAGTTTTGTGAAACCAGGCCCTGAATCAGAAGAGGACTTAAAGAAACAATTTACTGACCTTTAATCTCATGACATCCATTGGTTTCCCCTCCCTGTTCGATAATGATTTGTCCCACAGGAGGCCCTAGAAAAGTGAGGGGGAAAAAATTCATGAAAATTAAACAACTTGCAGAAGATGGGCTTACTATGAATCATTGGGTCATTGAGTCCGGTTAGGTGGTCGCGTTACACGACCTTTCGTGACCTGGAACGTTACAGTGGTGACCCCTTGATCTAGATGACCTTTGTGTTTGGGTCAGAGTTCAAAGTTCAAATAATAGATTATCACTCACCTGTAAGAAGTCTTCTAGTTTTGAAGATTGCACACTACCCTTGACCTGGAATGTTACTGTGGTGACCCCTGGATCTAAATGACCTTTTGTGCTGGGGTCAGAGTTCAGCCCTTTCTTTTCTAGCAGTTGATATCCACTAGAAAATAGGAGAATAATAATGGGAGAATGTGTGAAAATTTGATTTTGCATATATCAAATGTAGTTTCAATACAAAATATAAACTCTTTCTGAATACATTCATTTTTTTACCTTACAATGGGAAAACATGTTCTTTCCTTGATAATTTGAACAGAAAGACACCAGCAGTAATTACCTGCCGATGACTCATTGTGTGCACTGCTGAAGGTTAGTTTTTATATGTAGGTCATGTGCCATCAATATTATCAATTTTGATGATAAACATGTAATTACCAAGATATCCTGCGTATAAGTGTAGTCAAAGAACAGTTCGATTTTTAGAAAGTGATCTTCTTCAACTGGATGTCCATTGTTGGTGCACTATTATGTAATGCTTTTCTTCTGTAGCAGAAAGTCTCAATGCATTAGACTAAATGAGCAATAGACCAAATGGGTAGTCAACTTATTGGACCAAATGGAAATTAGACAAATGACTAGTAGCCTAAATGGTCATTAGACCAAAAAGAAGTAGACGAAATGATTAGTAGACCACATGCATAGTAGACGTGCTGGGTGTAGAAAATACGGGAATAGACCAATTGGGGGCTAAGACGAAAAGGTTGTAAACCAAATGGCAATAAACCGGACAAGAAACCCATATCTTTTATGTAGAGGTGTTGTGGTCGAGTGGATACGTCGCCGGACTGTCGATCACAAGGTCCGCGGTTCGAGTCCCGCCGCTGCACTAATGTCCTTTGGCAAGACATTGATCTACATTTGCCACACTCCACCCAGGTGAAGTAAATGGGTACCTGGTTGGAATTTATTCCTTGAAACGCAGCGCGCGTAACAGCTGCACTGCTAAAGCAAGGGTAATTATGCTGCATTATTGTAGAGCGCTTAGAGACTTCTGACAAAGTAAGTGTTAGGCGCTATATAAGCACTGTAATTATTATTATTTATCTTTAGTTGTCAGCATTCACAAGACCAAGCCTGAATACGTACCTGATTTCCCCCTGCACGTCATATGCATGTAAGTCTAAGATGAGGTTCAAGTCTATCCTGCAAATGAAATCGTATGAGAGAGGACAGGAATATTGTGAGAAATTGTACGGCTTATGTTGGCCTGCTGCCATTTTATATCGAATGCAAATGTCACTTCAGGATTATCTGCTCAAACACTGAATCATTAACAAGCTTTATATTTGTCAAATCTTCCTATCATATCGTGCAAAAAAAAACATGCAGGAATGTAATAGATGAGAACAAACATTAGATTGGTAAATATAATTCCTCTATAATGAAAAGGAGTAATAGTTATTATTTCCTACTAGAAAGCAACATCAACCCCACTGAAAGCAGTAACAAAACATACAAAAAGAATAATAACATTTTAAAAAAATGTATGTCATTACAGAGATCTTTCATAGTTTTTCTTGTCTTTTAGAACATTTTTTCCCCCTGAAATGTTAAACCTTTATGTCTGTTTTTAAAAAGAGAGAATGAAACATGATGCAGGATTGTCACATACACACCTCAAAGGTAATAATTTTCCCCAATCCTTTTCTTAGTCAATATTAAATTACAATTATCAATTTCATTAATATTTACCTGGCTCTTTGTGTTTCTTGTAACCTTGCTATGCTGTTTATATGCCTGGAATAGAATCGAAAACAAAACAATTGATCATATGCAAAATAAAGGCAATATCTTAATAAAATTTATTTTAAAGTGACTTGGTAACATTGCCTCATATTCTGAAACAAAACCCTGGATTTAGCTCATGCTGCAATCATAATTATAAACCTTTAAGGCTGTCAGGAATCTCCTGACTTTTACAAATGATTATAAAGATATTTATGATTGGAAATCAAAATTTCATTTTTTGTTTTCCTCACGTTTTTATAGCACTAGTCTATTGGGGGAAATGATTATGATAAAACCAGTCACTCAAAGATTTCTACTTTTTTTTAAGCATTTCATGATCGTTTTGAAGCCCAATTTTTGTAAGGATTCAAAATTACACCATATCGCAAAATGTAAGAGAGGCAGAACCCACTGCGGACTTCACAAGAGAGTAGAGGGGTTACACACGCTTCTTACTCAATTACAGCAGGGGGTGGACCCAAGGGTTACAAGTGATGCAGTTCACCTTTTCCCCTCCCAGGCACAGGTGATGCCAAATGCTTAATGAGACTGACCGCCAATAGCAATTTCTTTCGGAATCGACAACACACATAGTTCATCATCAGCTAGGTTTACTTTGTATGTGCTTTTGCTGACCAAATGAAAAACCTTACTTGATTGTGCTTCTAACTTCAGTCAGCTCTTGTGTTGACACAAGGTCTGTCTTATTCAGGATGACCAGATCCGCTAGTGCAATTTGCCTGAAAGAGAGAGTGAGAGGAAGTTAAAAAGTTGAAAAGCTACATCAATCCTGGACCCATATATACAAAGGGTCTACAACTTTAAGTGGACTTATTCCTTCCTGTTCCCTTTTTGAATATACCTTGATTTTAGTGGGAAAAGAAAAAGGGTGAAATCCACCATGAAAACGGCAGAAATCGAAGTTCTTTACCGTGGAGAGTTAATGGAGTTTGAGAAATTGCTATTGAATAAATTAGACGATTGAATGAATTAGTAAAGCTAGTTTCAAGAATTTGAACAATTTCCAGAAAGACTTCAGCAAATTGCAGAGGGCGCTGAGGGAAGTGTACAAATCTAAAATCCAAAAGACTAGAATTTAATTCGTCACGAGGACGAATAAGGTGGTCTGTCTTCAAGTCTTATGATAGATTATAATATTTACTGTATTGAGAAAGGGAGAAGTTATATAGACATGTAAACAATGATGATCATGATGATGATGATCTTGATAGTAATGGTGATGACAATGATGATGATGATGATGATGATCATGATGATGTTGATGATCATCATCAACAGACCATGATGACATCTGATTGAAAAAAATGAGGGGACATTTAGATAGCATATAGTCTCAGCGGCTACAACATACTCCAAAATCAACAAAAACCAAGCGGAAATAACGGCGATATTGCTTGCAAAAGACCGGAAAGCAGAATCCAGATTTGAGAAAAAGTCATCTCACATAGGGACTACACGCAAAAAGTAATGGATCAAGTGATAATAGGGTAATAATAAAGTAAATATAGTTGTTTAGTACATTATTTGCGATACTACATGTTTTAATATTCAAAGGAGATGGTATAGTGAAAGGTCAAAAAGAAAAAAAGTGAAGAAAAAAATTGTTGGAGACGCCCGGACTCGAACCAGGGACCTCGAGGTCGGAAGTCAAGTGCGTTACCGATATACCAAAACATTTCCCATAGCGATTACACGTAAACAGAAAATTGAATTATCAAATCCCACTTTGCAAGTGAGATATGAGCATGATCCCGGCATCTGATCGAAAAATAAAGGGCACACTTGTGATAGCTTATTGTCTCAGCTACAACATACTCAAAGCTCAGCGAAAACAAAGCTAAAACGACGGAGATATTGCTCGCAAAAGACAGGATGTAGAAACCAGTTTTGAGAAAAAGTCATGTCCCATAGAGAATACACGCAAAATGTGAAAAATTGACATGCCACCTTTAATCGCAAAAATACGCCATGATACCTTTGTCAAAATGAAATATTGTGGCAACTGCATTTGTAGAAAATTGTCTAAGCTAGATCATATCAAAATTTGGAAGAAAATCGATCAATATTTACAGAGATACAGTCAATTTTCCAGAAATACATGTATGCTGGCGTCATAATATGCAAATTGAAATTTTGAGTTGGGAGGCCATTATGACGACGTCATGAGTTAATTGAGGGTCAAATGAGACATGAAATCATATCTCCAATTCATACTCTATCAAAATATGGAAAAAAATTGGGTTCACCTTGCATCCTAAAGCGCTACAATGGATTTTGTATAGGCATGTTTTTGCCCATGTATGCTATGTATTACAAGAGCTCGCCGCACGGATGCGTATCTTAACGGACGCTCATTCCGTTATTAATGATCAGAAAAAGGTGAACAAGGTATCAAAATGCTTGAAAAAATGTGCCAAATATGATGAAAGAGAAAATTTGGCAATTCTATGTTGCGAAATGCAAGTACGCGCAAAAACGCGCACGCATGCGTGTGTGCGCGTTTTTTTGCAAAATGCTTAAAATGGCCTGAAACGTATGCAAAATTAATTTGATATGATTCTGAGCATTTTGAAATTTTGCGCGCGGGCTTACACGCGGCCGTACGCATGCGCGCACGTTTTTTGACCTGAAATTGACCGGACGGATATTGACCTTAATCATGATAAATATGAATGAGAAATGCTTTTCCGTTATGAAGATATGATCATGAGTAAAAAGTACAAAAAAAAACACAAAATGGCGCCTGGATGACGTCATGAAGATTTGATGACCTTGAAAATGTTACTGTCACGTCTCATGACAATGACCTATGACTGTGCCAAAATTTAACGAAATTAACCAAACTGATCTTGAGTTATCCTCTACACAAAAAAGTGTGGAAAATAAAAATAAATAATAATAAATAAATAATAAAAAAAGAAAATTCTGACGAAAACAATAGGTGATCTGTCGAAAACGACAGACCACGTAATAAGAAAAAGAAAACAAACTAGATGGAATTTTGACTGCGCGCAGTCGAAAATGATGCCTCCGCCATAGAGCAATTTAAACAAGTTTGGAGTTTAAATCTCCAGTGGTTCTTGAGATATCATGATAACAATCTCAATGTATGGAATTTCATAAGTTGACCTCTGTGACCCTTGACCTTTGACCTACGTGCTCCAAAATCTAATCAGATTGTCTTCCTATGGTGATACACACTATCCTTAAGTTTGAAGTTTTTACATCTCCAGTGGTTCTTGAGATATCATGATAACAATCTCAATGTATGGAATTTCATAAGTTGACCTCTATGACCCTTGACCTTTGACCTACATGCTCCAAAATGTAATCAGATTGTTTTCCTATAGTGATACACACTATCACTAAGTTTGAAGTTTTTACATCTCCAGTGGTTCTTGAGATATCATGATAACAATCTCAATGTATGGAATTTCATAAGTTGACCTCTGTGACCCTTGACCTTTGACATACGTGCTCCAAAATCTACTCAGATCGTCTTCCTATGGTGATACATACTATCCTTAAGTTTGAAGTTTAAATCTCAAATGGTTCTTGAGATATCGCGCTAACAAAATCAATACAAGGAATTTCATAAGTTGACCTCTGTGACCTGTGACCTTTGACCTACGTACTCCAAAATCTAATCAGATCGTCTTCCTATGGTGATAAATACTATTCCCGAGTCTTAAGTTTAAATCTTAAATGGTTCTTGAGATATTATGATAACGGTCAAACGGGACGGACGTACGGACGTACGGACGTACGGATGGACGTACGGACGGACAACACGAACACATGATGCCTCAGGCACCACCTTCGGTGGCGGAGGCATAAAAATATTTTCCTCCAAAATGCTGAACCGCCCCGGACCTTCTAATTTCGGCCCGAAAGTTGTGATAATTCAAATTTTTACAATATTTGCCCCTACGCCCCTTCCAAAGGGATATGGGGGTCAGGATCCATCTAATGGCATGTATGTACATTCATTGTGGGGAAACTAGCCTATTCACAAAATATAATATTTTCCTCGAAAATGCTGAATCACCCCGGCCCTTATCATTTTGGCCTGAAATTGGTGTTTATTCAAATTATCACAATATTTGCCCCTATGCCCCTTTCAAAGGGATATGGGGGTCATGATCCATCTAATGGCATGTAGGTACATTCATTGTGGGGAAACTAGCCTATTAAAAAAAATATATATTTTCCTCCAAAATCCTGAACCACCCCGGCCCTTACCATTTCAGCCTGAAATTGGTGTTTATTCAAATTATCACAATATTTGCCCCTACGCCCCTTTCAAAGGGATATGGGGGTCAAGATCCATCTAATAGCATGTATGGACATTCATTGTGGGGAAACTAACCTATTAAAAAAAATATATATTTTCCTCCAAAATGCTGAACCACCCCGGAACCTTCTAATTTCGGCCCGAAAGTTGGGATAATTCAAATTTTTACAATATTTGCACCTACGCCCCTTTCAAAGGGATATGGGGGTCAGGATCCATCTAATGGCATGTATGTACATTCATTGTGGGGAAACTAGCCTATTAAAAAAAATATATATTTTCCTCCAAAATGCTGAACCACCCCGGCCCTTACCATTTCGGCCTGAAATTGGTGTTTATTCAAATTATCACAACATTTGCCCCTACGCCCCTTTCAAAGGGATTAGGGGTCAGGATCCATCTAATGGCATGTATGGACATTCATTGTGGGGAAACTAACCTATTAAAAAAAAAAAAAATTTCCTCCAAAATGCTGAACCACCCCGACCCTTCTAATTTCGGCCCAAAAGTTGTGATAATTCAAATTTTTACAATATTTGCCCCTTCGCCCCTTCCAAAGGGATATGGGGGTCAGGATCCATCTAATGGCATGTATGTACATTGATTGTGAGGAAACTAGCCTATTCAAAAAATATAATATTTTCCTCAAAAATGCTGAACCACCCCGGCCCTTACCATTTTGGCCTGAAATTGGTGTTTATTCAAATTATCACAATATTTGCCCCTATGCCCCTTTCAAAGGAATATGGGGGTCAAGATCCATCTAATGGCATGTAGGTACATTCATTGTGGAAAAATTAGCCTATTAAAAAATATATATATTTTCCTCCAAAATCCTGAACCACCCCGGCCCTTACCATTTCGGCCTGAAATTGGTGTTTATTCAAATTATCACAATATTTGCCCCTACGCCCCTTTCAAAGGGATATGGGGGTCAAGATCCATCTAATGGCATGTATGGACATTCATTGTGGGGAAACTAACCTATTAAAAAAAATATATATTTTCCTCCAAAATGCTGAACCACCCCGGCCCTTCTAATTTCGGCCTGAAAGTTGTGATAATTCAAATTTTTACAATATTTGCCCCTACGCCCCTTTCAAAGGGATATGGGGGTCAGGATCCATCTAATGGCATGTATATACATTCATTGTGGGGAAACTAGCCTATTAAAAAAATATATATTTTCCTCCAAAATGCTGAACCACCCCGGCCCTTACCATTTTGGCCTGAAATTGGTGTTTATTCAAATTATCACAATATTTGCCCCTATGCCCCTTTCAAAGGGATATGGGGGTCATGATCCATCTAATGGCATGTAGGTACATTCATTGTGGAGAAACTAGCCTATTAAAAAAAAAAAAATTTTCCTCCAAAATGCTGAACCACCCCGGCCCTTCTAATTTCGGCACGAAAGTTGTGATATTTCAAAT